GTGTCATTGTTACGAGCCAGCTGTAAGACTGGGGATGATGAGCTATAAAGAACTGTTATGTGATTGTCTACATTAATTTTGCCCTGGGTGTGCCTGCACTTTTGTTCAGTGTCTTCCAGCAAACACCATCTAGTAGGCATTTATTCATTTTCTGCACAAAGGCCATTCAAAGGCCATTAAGGATCTTTGTAGTGCTGCCAGGATTATACTTTATTTTTGTGGACCTAAGAATGTGTGTCCCTAAGAACTCAGGTGGTACCTCTATCCACATAACTTTCATGTTGGTAAAGTTTCATGCTATAGTTAGGCACCCTGTGAGCCTGAAAGCTTAAGTTTCTGCTACTAAGAAGTGCCACGCAGGTAGTGATTGATGCATTCCTTTTAGTTGGCAAGCATATCTGGTCTTCCTTAGGAATTGTGGATCTGTCAGAAGGCATAGTTTCATGTAACTGGGAGCAAATCCTCTTGAAGACTGAAAAACTGATGTTGCAAATAAAATCAGCCTCTCATCTTCTACATGGAGAATGTCAGAGGAAATTGTTTCCTTTCCTCACCCCTATGCCAAGAAAATTTCTAGCTCTGGAACAGGTCCATTGTTATCAAGTTTCATGATTCATTATGTAACACTTGGAGCTGATGAATACCTAAAAAGACTGCTTGTCTGTCTCCAGAAGCTGACTGGTGTCTTAACATAAAATGTTTTCTAGGAGTAGAACCAACCATTTGTGTGCCTTTTTTTTTGCAGCAACAGCTAGTTGCAGAAAATTTAGTTCCTGCCTGAGGTGGAACCTTGCCCCAGGATTCTTAGTGCATGCTTTTCCTTTTTAATCTGGTCTTCAGGGGTAGTGTAGTTTTACCCTCCTATCCTTCCAGTCCCCAAATTATGAGAGGAGGAAGATCAGGGGGTGTGTCATGTTAGCTCCTTGATCAACATGTTTTAATTCTCCAAAACTCAAGATATTAATTTTAATATTTCATAACTAATAATTTCTGGTCACGTGTAATATCCCAGGATTTTTCTGCATAAGAATGCAAATTTCTATTTCCTGATTCATCAGGCTGTGTAGGGCTTGTTGGTGTGTGAGGCTTTTTATCAGTTTGGAAACTTAGGTAATCTCTTCTTCCATATGATGCTGTAGAATGTGTTACGATTGAGACACCAAAGAAGAAGGGCTGAGAAAGCAGATTATTGTTTATCTGCAATGAAATATCAACATGTTTCCTTTGACTGCTTCCAGTACACTGGTGATGTGTGAGCTAGATCTGTCTGGGAGTTGTATTTGGTGAATTTTTTTAATTAGAAAAGGCAGACATAGTTTTTGGCAGGAAGTTTATGTACGTCTAAGAGGGACAAATCAACTGGAATCAAAGTGTTGATAATCAGATTAAGTTTTCTTGTCTATATCAATAGTTTGGTATAACTTGGATCACTGACATCCTTGATGAATGCCTAGTTCTCTTTTCCTGTATGTATTTCATGTATTCTGTTGATTCATTTTTCATCTTAATACAGAATGGGCAAACTTCTAGAAATCCAAACATATCTGAAGGTAAAAGAATGCATTCAGTGTCTAGCATTAATGTGTACTTTCACTTTTCTGACTGCACTGATAACAACCGTGTTAACTTTTGCCACACCTTCTTCCTATCTAGGGCAGTGTATTTTTATTTCATTTACCTTTGTTTTAATTTTTAAAGGATTGAATCCAGCATTTGAAATAGGTGTATGGGGTGTATTCTTTTCATTAACTCAGTAAAGGTTCTTTTTTTTTCTTTCTATGGTTGCTGTTTGATAGGTGGAGTGTTTGCCTGCAAGGCATATTTTTATAAGTAACATTTTGAGGGTAAACATAATTAAAGGTGGAAAGTTCAAATAGCTCTCGTGCTTACAACAACACAATCAAGAAAGCAGCAAAAGACAGCAAGGGAGAACTAATAACTTAAAATTGCCATAGAACTCTTATATTGAGAGAAGTATCCATAAACCAGAGGGTTTTTAAAAGTTGTATCTTGGATAAAGATGTCACATGAAAATCAAAGGGTAGGGAAAATAGGAGTAAGAACAGTGTTTTCTGTGTGAAATTGGGTGTTTCTTGGGACACTGACATGTAAGAGAAAAACATAGGAAACATAAAATATGCTGAAGTGCTTAAAATGGGTTTTTGAAGGGACCTGAAAACTGATGCATGTGAAAGCAAAAGGGTTATTTTAGCTGGAACCTGAATACAGATTTCACCCTCAAAAGAGAAAGATGGTAATGTATCTTCTTTCAAGAAATGTACATCTAAAAAAAACTCTGTATGAGTAATGGCAACAGGATTTTGTGCTGCTGCTCTGAAGATTAAATGCTTGTGTGAGTGAAAATAATTTTGTATTACCAGGCAGGCAGAGCCTCCTAGTGCATGGCTTTTGAAAGGTGAAATTCCTGTTCTCGTTGTGCTAGGGAAATAATGTTTAGATGACCTTGTTGTATGCTCAGTAACAGATCATCACAGCAATTTTGTTTTTCAACAAATTGGCTACATTTGAGGAAAAGAGAAAGAAAGTGACTTAAGAAGTGAAGAACAACTTGGCATGAGTGTGACAGAATAACCTTTGTACAACTTTCTGCTTAATTTCTTCATAACTACTGAGTTTCCTTTGACAGAAGATACCTCACAGTATTAGATCAGGGAATCAAGTGTATCCACATGGAATCCTGCAGGATGATATGCAAAATCCTGTTAAGGACAATATGCTTCAGTAGCTGCTTCTGAGAATATAGGAGCAAGAATTATGGATCTTAATGTAATGAAGCAGAAATTCCTTTAACCATTACAAATCTGCTCCTGACCCTTTGTTTCCATCGTTTCTTACGTCAAGGCACACAGTATTTCATAGTCTTCATGCAGAAGTTTATTTTTCTATTTGGTAACTTCCAAGTTGTGTAATGATAAGAGCAGTGTTAACCACCTGAATGATATACAGAGATTGCAAACTCTGTCTTGCAAGCAGTTCAAGAAGCTTCCTGTTGTTCTTGCACTAGAAAGCACTAGTACAGTTTTGTTTAAATTCTGCACTTTTGCCACACAGTGCCCTAGTTACACCAACGCGTTTAACTGCCATCAGATGTTGACTGGTCTTTTACATTCGTTTACTGCCTTTTATAATGAGATGTCAGGGTTTGATGGTTTTCATGCGAGAGGAATTGTCCTGCTTTGAATTAATCTATACAGGAAATTCTGGCTTTTTCTTCTTTTTTGTAATCTCTTTTGCCCACAAGTCTATTTCTTCTCTATTCTTAGCTCTTCTAGTTTCAAAATGGAGGGTTTTTTTTCTTGTGGGGATTTAGAAACACGAGTTGTTTCTAGGCGACATACAGTTTAGTCCCAAGGCTTTTGCACCAGAACATTTTGGAAGTTGCATCATGATTATGTTTTTAACTTTTTTTTTTAACCTGTGAGAGTTGGAGAGTGGAGCAAGCTTTTATAATAAATCATATTATTTTGTATCTAGATAACATAGAATAAATTCAGAGAACCAGGTCAGAGAGGTTTGTTTCACTTCCTCTCATCCAGTTTCCAAAGTGCTTAAGTATGCACTGAAGTGGGCCACCTCCTAAAAATAGTCCTAAGCTTAAAATAGTGCTCAAGATGCGTGCAGTTGCAAAGGCATGTCTGTCCATACAGCTCTCAGAGTATTGTGATGGGAGAGGAAGAGCTGTGCTGGTCCTGCTCAGTCATCCCCTCTCCCTTCACCTGCAGCGCTGAAGCCTGTGGCTGGCAAGCATTTCCACTTTTATATTTGAAAATGAATACTGCATAATAGTAAAGTTTTTTAATCTGGTATTTCTTTGGAGCTCTTCTTCAGGAAGGGTGTTTTCAACAGAATTCCTATATTTTAAGCACATATGTGTTAATTACAAAGTGCTGAATGATTGATTTCTTAAAATATTATTTTAATATTTTTCTATATTTCTTATCCTGAATTGTCAAGCCATTGTGTGGATAATTTAGTCGAATTGAGCCAACTCATGGCAGATATACATAATTTTTTGTGAGGTAATTCTGTATCATGGCATCTTTTTTCTAGAGGGACTGAGTTCTCTGCTTATATAATGCAGAGACCAACATAAATGTGGAGGAGCTTCACACACATGTACCAGTCTTCTGGCTTCCTGCATAATGTGCTAGAAAAGTGAAAGAAGCATATATTTATAATGTCATCGATGTTTATTTCCATATTTATATGTTAACCTCATATTTCCTTGGATTGAGTTTTTTACAGAGAAACCTTGGTTGCAGGAACTCCTGAAAAATGTTTCTAATCCAGTAGTACACAATATAGCATACAAACATAATGAAGGATATCAGGATTTTAGAAGCACTGGCACAAGAAAAATGTTGTCTTACATCTCTGGCATTCAGTTTCAGTTGACATAGACAAGAAAATCTTGTTTGTAGTGCCAAAATCCTTTGCTGGAGTAGGCAGTTATTTAGTAAAAGATTTAATTATTTACTATTATAAGAAAATTTAAATACAAACATTCTCATACCTCATATAGAAACTAGCATTATAAATATCAATCAGCCTGTCTCCTTGGGCTGCTGAGCAATCACTTGTGTTTTTCCCAGTGAGCAGGAGTGTGAACAAAAATATGCCTTTATTCACTCAAAGCCATGTCTGACTTTTTATTAATTTGGTAAGGTTTTTTTAAGGGAGCAGATATGTAAAATAACACCATTTGGCAAGCTGGTATTTTTAACTGCTAACATGGGAAATTACTTTAACCAGAAGTTTTGGATGTATTTTGTGCCCTGGAAAAGATGAGGTCTGAACACTGAAATATTACATTTTAATTGTAGCTTTGGTGCTTTACCCTCAAAATGCTGGAAACTGTTTTTTGTCTTCAATTCCTTATGTGTGGGGGAGATAACTCTTCTTTTTTGTTAAGTCATTGCAACTTACCAGATGGGGTTTTTTTTACAATAAAACTGTTTTGTCTGGTATTTTCTACACAGTGTTGACAATTTTGGACTTGGTCTTCTGCTTCAGACAAAGCAGATAAAACGCATGGTGTCATCATATGTTGGAGAGAATGCTGAATTTGAACGCCAATATTTATCTGGTGAGCTTGAAGTTGAGCTTACACCACAGGTAAGGAGTGTCCCTAAGAGGGTGATTCCTTTTCATCTAAAATATTGAGTAGAATAATGCTTAAGTACTCTTATAAAATTATTTTGCAATCCAAATGCTTTGCTTGTGTGCAGAAGAAACTTGCCATCTCTGGTGGGCTGACCCTGACTGGATTCCAGGTGCTCAACAAAGCCTCACTCTCAACTCTCCTCAGCTGGACAGGGAAGAGAAAATATAACAAAAGACTCATGGGCTGAGATAAGTAAAGAGAGCGATCACTCACCAGTTACAACCTTCGGCACCATAGACTCATCTTGGGGAACTTAGTTTATGTCAATCAAATCCGAGTGGACTAAGAGAAGTAAAAACAAATCTTAACACCCCCTTCCCCTACACAGGCTTTAACCCAACCCTACCTTTTTCTTGCTCCAATGTGGATTCCTTGCAGGGTCACAAGTCCTGCCAGCAAACCTGCTCCAGCATGAACTCCTCTTTCCTTGTGGCCCCAGGTCCTGCGAGGAGCCTGCTCCAGCATGGGCTTCTCATGGGGTCACAGCCTTCTTTCAAGCATTTATCTGCTTGGGCATGGGATCCTCCAGGGGCTGCAGGTGGATTTGTTCTCCCATGTGGCCCACCATGGACTGCAGGGGCACAGCTGCCTCACCATGATCTTGCCAAGGGCGGCAGGGGAATCTCTGCTCTGGCACCTGGAGCACCTCCTGACCTTCCTCCTTCACACATCTTGATGCCTGCAGAGCTGTTTCTCTTACATATTCTCACTCCTTCCTGCTCTGGATGCACTTGCATCTATGCAAGAGGTTCTCTTTCTTCAGTATGCTGTCCCAGAGGCTCTACCACTGTTGCTGATGGGCACAGCCTTGGAACTAGCTGGCACTGGTTCTGTGGACATTGGAGGAAGCTTCTGGCATATTCTCACCCCTCTAGCTACCAAAACCTTGCAAAGCCAATACACCATCTTAGGGTTATGCATTTGTTAAGAACTGTCTGTTATTTGTGTGAATTCCTTTAATTGAATTAGTTAATTAATAATAGATTATATTAACCTTACACACACACATATGTAGGTGTAGAAAAAGGCATAAAGTATGCTCAATACTGCGGCCCCATATAAAGGGAAGGAAGTCAAGGAGCGGCTGTGTTTCCATTTTGGTGGCAGGTTTTGGGGAAGTTGCACGTGCAATGCCTGCCATCTAGTGGGCAGGAATCAAATTCGGAGATTTCATTAATTGTGCAAAAAAACCCTTTTTGGCTTGTTCATTAACTCTTAGCGAAACTAATCTGTGTGTACTGTTATGACCAAATTTAAAACTTTACTTTTACACACCTTATTTTTAATTATTTTAGCACTGCCAAGCTCCCCAAATAGTATGAATGCAATGACATGCTGAAATCATCGATATCAGTTCTGTTCTATTGAGATCAACTTCTGTGAAGCTGGTGTTCTAACTTTAAAGACTACAGCATGTTGGTGTCTGGCATTTTCAGAGGTGACACATAAAATTTAGGCTTTAAAGAGCTATTTATATAAGTGTCTGGGAAAAACAGCTGCATTAAATTTTTATTAAGAATAGTACCTTGAGCTCCCTCTCTTGTGAATCACAGAATGTGTCAGGTTGGAAGGATCCACTGTGGGTCATCTGGTCCAACCTCTTTGCTCAAGCAGAGTCATCCCAGAGCACATGGCACAGGATTGTGTCCAGACAGTGCTTGAATATCTCCAGTGAAGGAGACTACATGATCTCTCTGGGCATCCTGCTCCAGCGCGTGGTCAATGTCACAGTAAAGAATTTCTTCCTCATGCTCAGGTGGAACTTCCTGTACATCAGCTTCTGCCCCTTGCCTCTTGTCCTGTTGCTCAGGACCCCTCAACAGAGCCTGCTCTCTCCTCTGGACACCCCTTCTTTGGATACTTACAGGCATTGATAAGGTCCCTTCTCAGTCATCTCTGCTCAAGGCTGAACAGACCCAACTCCCTCAGCCTTTCCTCATAAAAGAGATTCTCCATTCCCTAAAGCATCTTTGTTACTCTTGAAGATGCTTTTCCTGATGCACCCCAGGTCACCACGGGCCTTGGCCACAAGGACACACTGCTGGCTCACGCTCACCAGGACCCCCAGGTCCTTCTCCACCGAGCTGCTTCCCAGCAGATCAGTGCTGGCCTGTACAGGTGCATGGGATCATTCCTCCTCAGGTGCAGGACCCTGGATTTTCCTGTGCTGAATTTTGGATTGTTTTTCTCTGCCCATCTCTCCAGCCTGCCAAGGTCCCTCTGAAGGGCTGCAGAGCTCTCTGGGGCACTGGCCACTCCTCCCAGCTTTGCATCATCAGCAAACATGCTGAGGAGGCATCTGCCCTTCCTCCGAGCCATTGAGGAGAAGTTGAACAATACTGGGCCCTATATTGGCCCCTGGGGGCACCACTAGTGACAGGCCTCCAACTAGATCCTGTGCCACTGATTGTCATGCTCTGGGATTGCCATTCAGCCAGTTCTCTGTTCATCTCACTGCCCTCTCATCCAGTCCACTCTTCCTGAGCTTGCCTATGAGGATGTTGTGAGAGAATGTTTCTTAGAATTACAGACATTAGTGGAAAAGTTCCTTTTCTATCCAGTCAGCAGACCTAAAGATAGCCAGACACTTGTCAATGTTTTGAATGTCACAAATCTCACAATGCATTTTTTTCCCTCCTATTTAATGTTCAGTACTTTCACCTAGGGGACCATGAACTCCTTAGACACACAGTTGACTCTGTGGACTACAGATAAGCTATGTAGATCAGCATGGAAATAATGTATCTACAGGATATAAAGGGAAACAGTAAAGGTGAATTAATTACCTGCTATGAGATGTGGGGCTTTGAAATATTTGTATCAAGAAAAATAGTCTTTCCTAAGATAGTGCGGTATAACCTTAGGCAAAATGGGAGACTTTTGTATTATTGTTGCACATTAAGGATCATGGTAAGATCTTGAAATTATAAGGCTTTTTAGAACACAGGATTCTGTATCATTGCATGGTTTACATCTGCCTCTCGCCAAGATTTTGAAAACCAAGCAGAAGCCATGGTGCTTCTTGCAGGATAACTGGGGAAAGTAAAATCTGTGTTGTAGAGGCTGTTAAACTGGGTAATTGACCATGGTGTTTTTGTCTTGCTTTGAATCCAGGAAAATATTAAAAAAAAAAAATCTGGGAAATGACACTAATGAAAAGCAAACACACATCTTTGGCCATATGTACATAATTAAGGCAAATGAGGAATTTTTGCTGTTAGTGTCCTGGACATAGAGAGGCTGGACACAGAGAAGCATGCAGACAGGGTGGTCAAAGAGAGTAGAAAAACTGCTCTGTTAGCTTTTTGGTATTCTTGGCATGGGCAACCCAAATTACTGGACTCCCTCTTCCTTTCTCAATCTGCCATGCTTGGCAGTTTCAGCTAGGAGTGGGTTCTGAAGTTTTTATTAGAATGTTGGAGAATGAACATCAATGTTTAGGACTGTTAGAAAAGAAAAACCTTCTAGGATATGTAGCCAGGTAGGAAAGAGAAAAATGACTATGTACTCTTCTCAAGAATAATTGGTTGGGAAACAAACCAAAGGAGAGGAGACACAGCCAAGTGCTGGCATATGGGAGGTAGTTGCATGACTGTGTCATCTTGAGCAGTTCATGACTGTGTTTCAAGCATTTCTTGCCATATCCAGTACTAGTTCCACATGGGAAAGCTAAAATGTGAGGAAGAAATAGCTTATCACATCTCTCTACTGTGTGCAGAAGGAAAACCTACAAATGATAGGATATAAAATAAAGTTAATGCAAGCCATTCATCAGAGTTTGATTTGTTGCTCCCAGATGATTTCTTAAATGTGTTTTCCCATAGGGTACACTTGCTGAACGTATTAGAGCAGGAGGAGCAGGAATCCCAGCATTTTACACCAGTACTGGCTATGGGACGCTGGTGCAGGAAGGGGGTGCACCCATCAAGTACAATACAGATGGCACCATTGCCATTGCCAGCCAGCCAAGAGAGGTAAGAGGTCTGACCGCCATTAGGAAGCCTTCAGCATTGAAAAGTTAATTTCTAACATATTTACAAGATTAAAAAGTGTTTGAAAAAGGAGTTAAAGTTAGCTTTACTGTATTCTGTTGACTGGATGTCTGTGGTACCAGACAGATTAGCTTTGCTTCCATTGCTTACTGCTGTCCTCTGTGATGTGTTAAAGAAGTTTTTACAGTTGTAGAGTGATTTAGCATCAAGACCTCATCCAAGTGAAAGCCTGCCTTACTGAGTTACTTTTCACATGACCATTCTTTGACCAGGTTCGCTGTGTATTCAAACTAAAGTCAAACTAAAACCTGTTAGTGGGGCAGGTGCTACTTAAATACTGCACGATGTAGTAAGTAACCCTGCAGCTGCATGTGGAGCTTCAGCCTTGGAAGAAATGGGGCATTCTTTTGTTAGACTGGGAAGAGCTCAGTTGACACAAATTTCAGGAATGCATTTCCCAATATTTGAAATGCAATTTAGTCTCAGTTTTTAAAACTGCAGATAAATAAAAGGACTGTGGCTTTCAAGGGAGAAATAAGGGTTTCTTTCAAATTGGATGTAGAATTTGGAGAAGGGAAGAGGTATCTCAATGCCATAATTTTTCTTGAATAAATGGGTGGGGCTAATATTGTGCATTCCAATTTGGCTGCATACAACATTAAATTTCACTTCCAGACATTTCTGGGGTAAAGGTAATTCCATCCTAACCCATGGTTTTCATGTATTTTATACATGACTATTTGCAGTATCTATACATTGTCTTAATCTTTTATATTCCCTTAATTTTTTTACTGCATACATCATTGCGATGTTTTGCCATTTGGAAGAATGTTTTGTTCGTTAAATAGCTTATAATTTCAATAAAATTTTTCTTAATTTGTTTTTCGTTTGACATTTGTGGGAAAATCTCACTTACTCTCCTCAGTCAAATAACTATGGGGTGCTAATAGCATGACTATCATGATTTGTTCAATTCTATTCTCATCCATTTTGCACAGAAGTGTCATTTTTTAAAGGCTCAGATCTTCTTTTATGGTACTGGCACACTGATGTCTGATACACTTTTCTCATACTTCTCCTTTCAGCAATATTAAGGTCTCAAGTAATATTTGTGTATATGCTTACCTTCTACATAGTTAAGAAAGGTAGCTCTGTCTCTCTTCTATATTTTGATTTCAGGCACATTATCATTCATTCCAAATGTTGATCATAAATGCAGAGAAAACCAAATGAAACTCAGCCTGTTAGATGACATGATTTGAGTAGTCTGTCTTGAATTGACTTAATTTTGGATTTGGTGGTGAGCAGTACTTATGACCTTTTTCAGTAATTCTGCTGTAGCAGTTAAGTTTTTGATTAGCTGGTAGATGCACAGGACAAAGCATATCTGATTCCAGTAGATGGAGCAGGAGGAATATGGATTTTCATGATGTTTCACTAGAGATACTATGATAAAACTGGGATTTGTAGCCTTTCCATGCCTCTCTGTTATCATACAGCTTTTCAGTAAAAACTTTACAGAATACAAAAAAAAGTTGAAATATAATTGTCTGCAAAATTAACCCCTAAAATAAGTATTCCATGTGAAATTTCTTGGAAGAAACCTACATCTCAATTTTGGACTTTTCTCTTTAGGTGAGGGAGTTTGATGGCCGTCACTTTATTCTAGAGAAATCGATTACGGGAGATTTTGCTCTTGTGAAGGCATGGAAGGCTGATCGTGCAGGAAACATAATTTTCAGGTATGACTTGTTTATTGGTGGGAAGAGATTATTTTACATTTTAGGTAATGAATGAGAATGAGAATTCTTTCTCCTGTGTTATGGCAAAGTAATGTTTTACTGATGTCACATTCTTTCATACTGCCTTTCCCTACTGTCAAATTACACTGCTATAAAACACCAAAATGTAATTGCTTTTTCTAATGACTTTTGAGAATTCAAACTTAGCTATGAAATAAAGAATTCACAGTTAAAAATGAGACACAGCAGACTGAAGTCATTATCATGACTGTTGAGAAACTTAGTGACTTTCTTTCAATATTCATGTTAGTTTGGGTCCTTTTGCTTGAGTAATTAAAGGTTAACCCAAGAAGTACAGGTTCATGTACAACAGAAGAGAAGGAAACTGAGTCAGTCTTCTGGCCAGTCAGTGATGGGAAAACTGATTCTGTCTAAATCTGTGTTTAAAGTTTATTTCATCTCAGTGGTGTAGGGAAAGGCATCATATGAATTTAAACATCTTTGCAATTAAAAGTTTGATGTTGCACTACTGAGAAAATCTTTTCTCTGAGTTGCTCTTTTTGTGTACTGGTTTGTCCTGAACTGAAGCAGGAGAGTGGTTTACTTATGTTTAATGCCTGGTTTTTATTTGTTTGTCTTATGGCTATCAGATGAAAAGGTTAGTGTTGTAGTTATCATGTGCAGTTTATTACAAGCATATGCTGATTGAGAGTCTGTCTTTGTATAGAACAAACCAGGAGTTGGAAAAGCAACTGAACTATATATATATAGAATAACATCCATAAAGTAATGGGGTTTTTTTTAATGTGCTTATATATGTGTGTATATATATTTTTTATATATCCACATAATACTAAATTAAAATACTTGAAATTTAATTAATTTATATATCCACATAATTAATGCTAAATTAAAATACTTGAAAATTTATAAATAAGTTTTTATTTTGCCCAACTCTTGATATCCTGACTTGCCCACTTACAAGACAATATGGTTTCTGATTGAAAGCTGAACTTGTATGTGTGCAGATGAATTCGATGGCTGCTAAACTGCTCTCCTTAGGCTCTGGTACATTGAATACAGGAAATACACTTCCCCCCAGCCTTGTCTTTGATCCTGAGGCACTAGTCTCTGTGCTTTTATCCTGTATCTTTCTAATGATGCATAGTAGATACCTCTCAAATGTTTTTTCGTTCTCCACAGAAAGACTGGTTTTATTCTCCTTTTACCCTCTTCCTTTATGTCCTGTTGTTCTCTATGCCTTTCCTTCTTCCTGTTCCTTTCAGATGTCTTTGTTATGTCTCCCACATTCCCACAATATATCTGATAATAGACACTTCTTCCATCTGGAGTGAAGACCTAAAAATCTTGACGCTTCCCTTCAACTGTAACTAATAGAAGATGGAAATTAATAATCCTCTGGTGTCCTATTCCATATGGAATATTGCTAGCTCAAAGGAATGTGCTTATGATAAGCAGTGACCTGTTCTGTTTCTGGATGAGACACGATTATCTCATAACATAGAATAAAGAAACATAGGGTCCTCTTATAACTTGATGTCTGCTACCACTTTCACTGCAGCGTGGGGTATTATTCATAGTGTGTTTCCTGTGACTGTGTGAAGCCAGTAGCAATGGTATGTCTGCCAAACTGTTAATCTCCCCCAGGCTAAGAGCTTTTAAAAATTTAGAGGATGTAAGTCTAAGTGTACTTTAGGTACACTTACTTGGCCCACAGGCTGGCATTGATTTTTTTTTTCTCTATTCTCATACATCAAGGTATATTTTCTTGGAATTCAGAATGGCATCAACTTCTTAATAATGCTGCTTTTAAAACAGTTTGTTTTGTTTTTCTTTAAAGTTCTACTTCATGAGTCTTAGATCTTTTGTCCCATACAGCATGTTGCGGTGGCTTTCATTTCAGGCATCTTCATGCTGAGTGGACTATTCTGCGCCACTTAGCAGTGGTTTACTTTTGTATAAAAAAGGTCTTAAACTCCCTTGGGGCTTTGCTCATTGGCACAACATCAGGGAGTGCCACTGCTTCTGTGGGTAGTCAGAGAATCCCAGAATGGCCTGATTTGGAAGGGATCTTAGATATCATCCAGTTCCAGCCTCTAGCTGTGAGCAGGAACACCCTTCACAGAGTTGGGTTGCATAGAACTTCATCCAGCCTGGCCTTGAACACTTCTGGGGATGGGGCATCCACAACTTCTCTGGACACTTGTTTCAGTTCCTCACCACCCTCAGTAAAGAATTTCTCCCTAATATCAAATCTAAACCTCCTGTCTTTCAACTTGAAGCCATTCTCCCTTGTTTTGTCACTATGTGCCCTTGTGAAAAGTCCTTCTATGTTGAATACTCTCTTCATGTACTGTAAGGCTGTAATTTGGTCACCCTGAAGCCTTCTCTTTTCCAGGCTTAACAATTCAAATTCTCTCAGCCTTTCCTTGCAGGAGATCTCTGATCATCATGGTAGCCTTTGGACTGGGTCCAGCAGGTCCATGTCCTTCCTGTGCTCCAAAGCTGAATACAGTGCTCCAGGTGGGTCTCAGCAGAGCAGAGGGGCAGAATCCCCTCCCTCCCCTGCTGCCCACGGGGCTCTGGATGCAGCCCAGGACACGTTTGGCTCTCTGGGCTGTGAGTGCCATGGCCGGGCCATGTGCAGCCTCTCACCCACAGCACCCCCAAGCTCTTCTGGGCAGAGCTGCTCTGGGTCTGTTCATGCCCAACCTGTGCTGGTACCAGGGGTTATTCCTACCTGGGTGCTGCACCAGCACTTGGCCTTGTTAAACCTCTTCAGATTCCCAAGGGCCACTTCTTGAGCTTGTCCAGGTCCTTCTGGATGGTATCTCATCCTTCAGAAGTGTCAACAGCACCACTCAACTTGGTGTCATCTGCTAATTTGCTGAGGGTGTACTCAATTCCTTTGTCTGTGTCATCACTGAAGATATCAAATAACATAGTCCCAATACAGACCCCTGAGCAACATCATTGTCACTGATGTTCACTGGGTCTCTGAGCCATTGACCAGGTGTGACTATTGAACCAGTTCCTCATCTACCAAACAGTCTATGCAACTGAATCCATCTCTCTCCAAATTAGAGACAATCATGTGGTGGGGCTGTAAAACCATGTCAAAGGCTATACAGAAGTGCAGATAAATGACATCAATAGCCATTCCCCATCCACTGATGTAGTCACTCCATCATAGAAGACCACTATATTGGTTAGGCAGGACTTGCCTAACAGATGTGAAGTTGTGATGGCTATCCTGAATCATCTCCCTGTACTCCCTGTGACTTAGCACAGCTTCTAGGAGTATGCACCGTGATCTTCCCAGGCACAGAGGTGAGGCTGCAGGTCAGTAGTTCCTGGGGTCCTCTTTTATATAATTTTTAAAGATGGGAACCATCTTTCCCTCTTTCCAGTCACCTGGTACTTAACCAGATTGCCATGACTTTTCAAATATCATGGAGAGTGATTTGTCTGTTTCCTTTGGCTCCCCTCCCTTTTCACCTGGTTTGACTCTGCTAGTTGTTCTAGCCCCTTGTACCTCAATTTTACAAGCAAATATGTGGCTTGTTGATGATGAAAATAGAGTATTGACAAAGAAGCAGAAATGTTGAAGGGATAACCTGACTAGAGCCTTTTCTATGACAGTCATGTCAGGTCATCTCTACATGCTTAAATTTGTTCTGGAATACATAAATTCAGCTCATACCTGAGGTGTGTCTACATCTTTATATCACTAGATATGTAGTGGATGTAGTTTGTTGGTTTAGTCTGCTATGAACTAGTTTGCTATCTTTTGCCTTTGGGAGAAAAGATGCCATGCCTTTGGGTCAGCTTAGAAATCCAGTGGAACAATTTGAACTTTGTTCCAATGGAACTTTATAGACGTTGCTGAATCTAGATGTCCAGAAATTTTTCTTAAAATAAAAAGACAACTTTGTCTAGCTAGTTTTTGAATTTTCTACTGCTAACTCCTTAACATTATTCTGAGTTGGAAAATAAGTGTAGTGCTTCTGTTTTTTTTTCTTCTGGATGATGTGCTCTTTAGATGCCTTTGATCCCTTAAAATTTTGGGATGGTGTATTCTTTAGAAATAAAGTCTTTGATCCTGTAAATGACTGCTGCTTCTGAAACAACTTTACTAACTCAAGAACAGTTTAAATGGCAGAAGCTTTTATAAATTAAATCAGATTAGAGACCAATAGCTCTTGTTAATGTCAATTAATATTGAAAAGCTTTCCTGTAGTTTTTTCCCTATGTAAAAATAATTTTATATCAGTTTCTTTTACTGATAGAGTAGCCTCTACAATCTTGAGAAAGTCTTTGGCTCAGAAAAGTAGTTACATGGGATGAAATAATGAATTGTTAGTTTTGTCATCTTCATTTCCCCCATCTGTATCCATTTCTCAGCTATTTTAATTCAGGTTTTATATTTCTATTTTTCTTCTCATTTGCTACTCTGCCTAGTTTAGGGGAATTTTCCCTGAATCAGTACTAACTAGTATTGTTTTTGCCTCTCAAAGGAGAGTATAAATTCACATTGTGGATTTTTACAATTTTGTTTCTTATTACATCCTTGGGCAGAAGACATTCATAGAGTCATAAAATACGTTGAGTTGGAAGTGACTCACAAGGATTATCAAAGTCCCACCCCTGGCCCTGCACAGCACCATCCCCAGGAGTCACACCCTGTGCCTGAGAGCATTGTCCAAACACTTCTTGAGTTCTGTCAGGCTGGTGCTGCGACTGCTGCCCTGGGGAGCTGCTCCAGTGCCCAACCACCCTCTGGGTGAAAAACTTTTTTCAGATGTCCAACTTAAACCTTCCCCGATTCAGCTTCAGGCCGTTCCCACGGGTCCTGTCACTGTCACCACAGAGCAGAGATCAGTGTCTGCTCTTCCTCTTCCCCTCACAGGGAAGTTGTAACTGCAGTGAGGTGTCCCCTCAGTCTCCTCCAGGCTGAACAGACCAAGTGACCTTAGCTTCTCCTGATTTGGCTTCCTCTTAAGGCCCTTCATTATCCTTGTGACCCTCCTTTGGACACTCTCTAATAGTTCAGTATCTTTTTTATGTAATGGCACCCAAAACTGCCCCCAGCACTCGAGGTGAGGCTGCCCCAGTGCAGAGCAGAGCAGGACAATCAATCCCTTCCCTTGCCCAGCTGTTGATGCTGTGCCTGATGCTCTCAGGACAGGGTTGACCCTTTGTTAGAGGCTTCACAGCTGGTATATATTGCCAATAAAAGGGCGTTTCCCGAAGATACGTGTCTTTGATTGTTGCTGATGTGCACTAGAATCCTGTCCGAGCTGCCCTTGGTGCCTGCCCCTGGCTGTGTCCATGCCACACAGTGATGGCAGCGCCCGAAGCTTGGAGCGACTGCGGCGCTGGGCACGGTCCTGGCGCTGAGAGCAGGTCAGCTGTTGGACTTCATCATCTTAAGGACTTTTTCCCAACTTAAATGAGTCTGTGAATCTGTGAAATAAGGATGGTCAGGGGAAAAAAATGCTTCTGTGGAAAAACAATGTGACAAAGGAGGTTTTATCTTGTTTTGAAACCTAGTTTCATGGATTGTGATGAAAAATGTTTAAGAATTCTGCTTTTTAACAGAGAAAAATGCTGAGGAGCTAGCAGTGGAACACCACTAAAACCTTCATAGTATTTCTTAATTATTAAATGTGCTGCGCACTTTGTTTGGTTTCTGAAAAGCACATGGAGGAGACAAGTGACGCAGGTCCATCTATATTGCACTTGTCTCCCCTGTGCTCCTAGGATCTTGGTGCAGTTGCCAACACAGGTATACATGTTAAGTGTTGTTTTTATTCTCTAGAGGTTCTTTTTCCTTGGTACAGGAATGCTTTGTGGGAATACTTAGGATGAATGCCAGAGTCTTACAGTGAGTGCCAAAACTGACACAGCTTTAGGGTTTTTAATCTTGTTGGGGTTTTTTGGTATTTGGTTTGTTTTTTTCTTTTTTTTTTGTGTATTTTTCTTGGTTTTTTTTTTTGATTTTTTTTTTGTTGGGTTTTGTTTGGTTTTTTGGTTTGTTTGTGCTGTTTTTTTTTTTTTAATTAAGAGAACTGGATAACATCTACTACTGTGTAAAGTGCTATCCCAAGTCCTAGTCCAAGTTAGGAAAGCATACTTGAGGGATTGTTAGGCCTGGTTCTTGTCCCCTGTGGAGATTAATTTCATTCTTTGTGCAGTGAAATAATGGCACCGTACAAAGTCCAGCTTGCTGCTGCTTTTGGATCCAGTAAATGAAGATATCAGTAACATACCCAATTTCAATTAAACAGGGTGCTGATTTAAAGTCAAAAGAGCTATAATAAGTACTTTCTAATGTAGCAATATTATTTCATTTCAGATGCATCTCACACAATTCCATAATACTTCTTTCTCCCTTAAACTTTTTTTTTAATTAGTTCTTCAGCTATTTGTATTTGGCAAAAAGCTTTGTGATGCTTAAAATACAGACATTCCTCTAGTAGCTTATTTCTGAAAAGTCTTTCATTGTACCATTATGGCCTTTAATATTTATTAATTTTTGTTTTGTTCTGTTTTTGTTTTTCAGGAAAACTGCAAGGAATTTCAACCAACCTATGTGCAAAGCTGCAAAGACAACAGTAGTAGAGGTAGGGAATTGAAATATAGTAAGCCCTATACTTGTATAGTCAATATACCCGTGTATCTTACATGGTATTCTGGAGACAGGCTAGGGGGATTTCAGATCATTGCAGGATTTCAAATCAGGGCCAGTGGTCTAACCTGTCTCCTTGGATTGCTTTTTCCTCACACTCTTTGACACTAGGCTCTACTTTGGTGAGTAATTCCTTTGTTGCTGTACATCTGATGCTGACAGGACTTTGTGTTCACTGTGATCAGCCTTTGAAAGGGAAACAAAGCAAGAGCCTTCAAATTTGTTAAATTATGTAATACGTGGATGAAAGAGGAAAAGAGTAGCCTTAAGCTATGCTTGAGGAGATTCACTTAAGGCTTTATGCAAAACTTTTTGAAAATAAAATCAAGTACATAACATCATAGATTAGGCAAATCACAGAGCTGTCACAGTTGTGGTCTCTAAAATTTAATAAATTACATAAATATCAGTCCACAGTAAGATATAAACAATTGGCTGTGTCTTGAGGAAGAGTATGGACTAGCTGATCTAGAAGTTTCTTCCAATCTTTTTGCCCTTTTTCTTTATCAGAAATGATAATATTTAAAAATATGAAGCAGCCTACACTGGAAAAATATTGGTGCCTGGAGAGTTGCTAAGGCATAGCAATATGTAAAAGATATGCTCTCTTAGCTTTTTCTTCAGTCTCTGGTAAGTTTTTTTATATGCCTAATAAAAGCTACATGCAGTTAGGCAGTAAGATCCAGACAAAGTCTTCTGGACTGTTTCTAGTAAATGGTATATGGAAGAGGCTTTAATATCTTCAGGATTTTTTGTTTGTTTTGTCTGGGGCTTAGCTTGGATTTTGTTTGTTTGTTGTTTATTTGTTTGTAAGATGTTGTTTGGAAAATATATTTGTTATATAAGCATCTCTGGATAATACATTTGGGAACTTTTGTTATTTCTTTGTGCCTTACAGAATTATCACAAAAAATACCATTATATTTACCACACGACTTACACTGACAATACGGCAAAACATTCCCATGTTTTGTTTTTAAGAAAAGTTTCAAGTATTTTTCTATTTAAAAATTAAATAAAGAATCTTTTCTTCTAGACGCTTGTCCTTTATACCTTGTTCAGTCTGGCATTTAAAGAATTTAAGTAGATCAAAGCCTTCCACCTACATTCCATCTCATTCTCTCTTTTTGCTCTTCTATCCATGTATGATAGGATAGAATTTTTTTGTCAGTGAGCAGCTGATGTGACATCATTCTTGCTGTAATTCCATTTATCAATTGTTAGTAGATCTGCTGTCAAGTGTGTCCACTCTGAGTCTTATTGCATTTTCAATACCATTTAAAAAACTGTCAATCTTTTTGCAAGATGCATTATTAATATTACTTTGCAATTCTGTTTTTTATGTACAAATTGGATGGAGATGCAAAACCACAGATTTAGGACAAATATTTTGAACCATCCTTGACTTAATTTCTAAATGTAATTATTTCAAAGTGGAATTCAGAATCTTGTGTTTGGGTGTAAGAGTCAAAACCCAGGGAATCAGAAATAAATATCTCTATATGGTGTCTAGTACATCCTCAGTAGTGAGCTCTATAAGCTGTCTTAGCTCATCAATACGGAACTGAGGCGACTAAAAATTTGAGTTTTGTCTGACTCCTTAGTTAATGTTGCTCAAGGCTGAAGATTGAAATTCTCAATCCCATTTACAGGGAGAAGAAAAAGGTTTGTATAGAGTAGTAATTCAGATACTGTCTTGGCAGGAGGGATTTCTAAATCCTGGTGTTTCTTCCCAACTCTTTTTCTGTTTTTCACTGACTGAACATTTAACTGAATTTAAGTAGACAAGTTCTAGTCTCTAAGAGTAGAGACTTGAAGACAATCCTGCTCTTTTTCATCAAAATAGCTACAGGTCAGGCTTGTCTTCAAAGATAAAGTGATTAACTGGGGTTTTCAGGATTGTTTCCCACTTTGCTGAGATTGACTTTAGTTTCTGATCATTGATGCAAATAGGGAATGGCATTTGGCACAGTAAGGTAGTTATCAAATATAAACTACTGGAAATCCAATCTCAATGTGTCTGTGAACTTGTTGAAAATAGGAAGTTAACCAGAAATCAATTACATGTGTTAACATGTCCTGCTAAGTTAACCTGAGGAGATGTGAAATCTGACATGCATGCAGTGAAAGACTTTTTTCTCTTTCCTTAGTGCTGTTGTTCTCTAGTTTTAGTCTGTGTGGTGTTTTACACACTCTTATGTGAAGTACAGATAAGACACTTGATAATTGTAACAATTCAGAGGCAGACAAATTTTGTCGATGTGAAGGATAAGAAAAAGAGGTAAGAGATAAAACTCCCCCACTTCTCAAACTCACAGACTGATAGCTATTGTTTGCTTAAAAATTCTCCTGTATTGTGAGAAGTGAGATTGGCTGTGCATAGAGGCATCTGAAAAAGGAGGAAGTCAGACTGTACTATTACCGGTTATGTTTGGGACACAAAGTAAAGAATTACTGGTTTTTAAAATGTCAGATTAAACTTTCAGCCTTGTTTATTTTGAATAGGCAAATGATCAGAAATAACGATTCAGTACTCATTTTGGGATCAGAAATACATTGATTGTAAGCTTCCAATTAAATGCAACAAGTGTTTACTGAGCTGCACAATTTTTTTGAACTGTTGCATGCATCTCTTTTGTTTATGTAAGTGTGAGGGAGTAGAACCTGCTATCAAGATAATAGGGGTGGGTTATCTGAGAAACAGGTAACTGTCTATAAAAATCAAACTGTGCCAAGTCCAATGGAATTTCTACTTTAATTTGAAGGTGACCCATTATTAAAGGTCAAAAAAAAAAATTCAACGGAATTGCATGATTCCTGTTATTTGTAAGTTAACCTTTGCAGAGACAAATGCTAAATAATGTTGGTAGCATTAGTTATTTTGTCTTTATATAAAAGTGAAATGATGCAGGTAGTTCATCTGCTTCTCGCTTCAGCTTGCAGAACTTTGCAGAAGTTAAACATGCTGTCAGACCTGTAGCTTTGTTTGAACCTAAGCTCTCACACACTCAGCCTGAAGCTTTTAGGTTGTTTTTTCAGAGCTATAAATACTTTTCTGCTCCTGTAGCCAAGATGGGAGAGTTGAGAAATTGGCCAATACAAAAGAAACTCAGTGGTCAGAAGTTACATACAAGCCACCAGTGCTCGTAAAGACTGAAAGGAAGAGCATGTCATGTGAAGAAACTTGAGAGTTGTGTGGTGTTACAGATGTGGTAATACTTCCAACACTGTTGAATGAAGGTGAAACTGCATTGAGGAGGTGTCACTGCTGTCAGGACCCTCAACAGAGCTGTTTGAATTTTATGATGGGAAATGACCTGCGAGGCAGCTTGGAGTTGCAAGAAGGCCTCTTGGATGTGTGCCCACACTCCTAGGGTAAGGGCTGTGATAACAGGGTGCTTCTTAACATGTGCATCTCCTTGTAGAGCACCTGAGCAGAGCCCCACTGGGCTTTTGGTCATGACACTTCTTTTTTGTAGGGAATTGGGGCTACCCAAAGCTATGGGAGAAAACATGGTGTGACCTTGCCAGATGTGTTGTCATGACAGCATGGGAAAGGATGATATAGGCTTGGGCTCTTGCTTTCTACCACAGCAGAGTACATAAATTTCTGTAACTGGCCCAAAAGACCCTGAGCGCTTATCTGTTTTCTTTTTATTCTCTGCTGTGAGACATACTGAATATTTTTCCCTGTTGAAGTGGTTTGAGATCTCAGCCACTGCCACTGTGAAAGTGTGTGGTAGTGGTAATGGTCAATATGTTTAGAAATATTTATTGACTTGCTGTTTGAATATCCAGTTTGAATAATTTTCTTTTTCAGATCACAGAAGATGGCTAAATATATATCCTTGGGTAAATAGCATTTACACCTCAAATACTATCAGGGGAGGGAAAAAAAAGAGAGTGTACTTTCTCATAAAAATGCATTAAATAAAAATCATTAAGCCCTGCATTTTATCTCTGGTTGCCTAGTAACAACACAGCCACATCAGTGAGCACCATTTTCTCAGGTACAATGAACTGCGTGGCACTAAGGGACAGAATCAGACTGAAAAAAGCGATTTGTGTCCTGTTATCTGCGATAAATCATGGCATTTGGTTTTATTGAAGAAACTCAAAATGAACCTTTTTTTGTGTGTATGTCTATACCTCCAAATGCTTTAACAATGGCAAAACTTACTTCAATGCACAGCTCTGTTCTGAGAAATTCTTCAAGATTTTTAGACAGTGATGGTTTACTGTAAAAAATCAGTAAGTACCACTTTAAAGTGAAAGAATCATCTAATTGAAACTTTTTTGTTACCTGGGTGCTCCATCCATGGAACTCTAAAGTGAGCCCTGGTAGAGGATGGGTTTGGGATGGACACGGACTTTACATCATGTGTATTTCTGTGAAATCACAGATCAGGACAAAAGACATAGAATTAAAGTCCTTCTGTGCAAATGCTGTAACCACTGAACTTTTGTGCTGCTATAGCTTTTGTTGATATTATTTAACTGCTCAATGATGAGTCTGTGTGTGCTTAGGCAATGGTTGTAAGGGAGTGTCCCATGGACCTGCAGTGGGGGAAAGCCTTTTTTTGAGAATCCCATTTGTCATAGGATGGGCGCTGAACTTCTTAGTCCTGCACATTACCAGCTGCTATTAGCACAAGTGACAGTAGAATTCTACTTGCTATTATGTGCTCCTATAATACATTATGTATATATGTGTATATACATATATATATATACAACAAATATATAAAACTTTGTATCTTGAATATGTAGGTAGTTAACCGGGGCTTTTCACTGCATAAGTGTATTTACATACCTAGGCCTTAGCTAAATTCTCAGTCAGAGCTGGCTGTGGATCTGAATTTAGATAACCCAAATATAATGTATAGACATTACAATAACCTTTCCCAGAGGACTCTTAGTTGCCAGATTTGAGTG